TTTTCTTTCACCCCAATCAGTGTTTCTTTCAAATTTAATCATATTTAAATATTATTTTTGGGTAGTGCTCTAAGGTATCATTATACTAAAAGTTATTCTCACAATTTTTTTTTGCTTTTTGTCCCACTAAAATAAATTTCTACAGATATGCCCCTACTTAGTTATTTTTTGCAGTTTTCTCAACCACTATTCTTTCACAAATATTTTTTTTTTCTAATTTTCTCATCTTGCATTATTTTCCTCTAATGTGTCCCTACTTAACTTTTTTTAGTCCTTTAAAATCTTGATATATTAAAATGATTCTCAAAATACTTTTTTTGTTGTTAATTAAAATAAATGTTTTCGAATATATCCCCACTAAAAAAGTTTTAAGAAAATGCATCATATAGCATATTTCATATCTATGTTTAAAGTGAATATCATTTTTTTTAAATGATAGTAAATTATAGCATATTGTTAGTTTTCATTTTAAAATACATTAGTCTTTTCCAAATCTACCATTTCAATTAGGGTTACATTGGGCTGCTTGGTAATGTTTTTAAAATGATTTTGTTTTCGGTATTAAAATGAAAAATGAGATGGTTTTTTTGTGTGCTTAAAACTCCTGCACGGTTTAGTTATATTTTTTACTCTTTCTTTTTAAATTCTTTTCCTTCTTTTCTTTTGCCTATTTTCATTTTTTTTTTGTTTTTCTTATTATATTCTTTCACAGTTTATTTTTTTACAATATCTTTTTTGAAATACTTTCTTTTCCTCACTTTCTTATAGTGGTGCAAGTTCGGGCGGCGGGCAGGTGCCATTCGCTGCTCGTCCAAGGTATTTTGTCGGGCATGGGCTCGAGCAGCCCGAAAAAATTCATTCCCTGGCTGCCCCACCGCCGTGGAGAAGTCATCCCCTGCCGTCCGCCGGATTTTTTTTTGAATTTTCCGGCGTAACCCGAATGTGCCCGAATTTTTTTGACCGTTAGCCCGAATTTTGCCCATTGCCCGAAAATGCCCGAATTTTTTTAACCGTTAGCCCTAAATCTGAACCCAACGAATCTTTTTGCCCGAACCCGACCACCGCCCGATTTTTGCCCAAAAATTCAAACCCCAACGGCTATATTTTTTACCATTGCCCGACCTGCCCGAATCCTGCCCGACCCGACCCGAGTGCCCGAAAATTTTACTAGCTGTTGGACTCAAATTTTTACGGGAAATTTTTTTTTTCAAGTCAAAAATTTTCCTATAAATACCCCCTCCCCCAACCATTTTCCTCACCCAAAAACTCTCATTCTCTCTCAATCTCTCTTAATCTCTCTCAATCTCTCTTAATCTCTCTCAAATCTCTCTCAAATCTCTCTTAATCTCGCTTAAATCTCTCTCGATCTCTCTTAATCTCTCTCAAAGCGCTCTCAATCTCTCTTATTTTTCATAATGGCTTCTTCTGGTTATGGTGGTGATATTCCCATTGATGTCCAATTCAACATCGAAGAAGGGTAATTTTCTAATGTTTTTCAAACGCAGGAATCACAAACTACGGAAAAAGTTGCTGAGGAATTTACAAATCTGACCCCTGGTGGACGTACTAGAGGTTGGGGACGTAACGGTGGTGGCATTGGTGGGCGTGGAGAAGAGGCAAGCGGTAGTGCTAGTGCAAGTGTTGCAAGTTCTAAGAAGAAATGTAAGTGCACCTCAGCAGTTTGGGAGCACTTTAACACATTCGAGGAGGTCGACAATAACGGTAACATTAAATACATAGCTTAATGTAAATATTGTGGTAATAAATTACAAGGTAACACTATTCACGGCACTACACACTTAAGAAGACACTCTGAAAAGTATCTTCAAAAGCAAGGAGGCGGAGCTGATCTCCACTAAACACAATTATCGTTTGACTGCCAAACCGGTGATCAAAGCACGTGGAAATACGATCCGCAAGTTGATCGTATGAAAATGGTATGATTAATAGCCAAATTAGATCAACCACTTAGTTTTACTAAACAAAGAAATTGGTAGCGTTATATTAAAATTGTACATAATCCTAATGCATAATTTTTATCTAGAACCACTCTTAGGAAAGATGCATTAAAATTATATAAACAAGAAAAGGAAGCAGTAATCAACCTTCTACACTCTACTAGTAGTTGCGTTGCGTTAACGGTGGATATTTGGTCCGTCGTTGCCAACAATGATTATTTACCTGTAACCGGATATTATTATAAAGGTTTTGATTTGGATAAGAGAATCTTAGGTTTCAAATGTCTTATATGATCACATACTGCTAATTTAATATATAACACAATTTATCTGTCATTGATGAATATAGTTTAAGAGATAAAATAATGGTCATAACATTAGATGATGCAACTGCAAATCCTAAAGCAATAGAACTTTTTGAAAATGATTTAAGTTTATTCGGTAATAATGATATATTTCACCAACGTTGTGCATGTCATATAATTAATTTAATAGTAAAATCCGGTTTAAAATCAATGTCAGGTCATATTAAAAGAATTAGAGATAACATTGCTTGGATTTAAGGTAATAATCAAATAATACAAGATTGGTTTAGATTTCTACAAGTATGTAATCAAAATCCTAGAGCATTAACCGTAGATATGCCCATAAGATGGAACTCTACTTATATAATGCTTAAACAATGCATCCCTTATAAAGATGCTATAACAAATTATGTTAGTACAAAATTAGGACCAGGATTTATAGATGAAACTGATTGGCAAGTTGCCGAACTCTTGTATAACTTTTTAGGTAGATTTCACGAAGTTACCTTAAAGCTTAGTGGAACTTATTACCCAACGTCACCATTAGCGTTATGAGAACTTTTAAGAATGTCTATTTTATTTAGTGAATTTAGGACACACGAGGTTTTAGGAGTTCCTATCGCCTCTATGGAAAAGAAGTTTAAAAAATATTAGTCTAAATTACCTGTGTTGTATAGTTTCAGTGTTATTTTCGACCATAGATTAAAATTAGAAGGTTTAGAAAGCGGATTAGATAACTTAGGTGAATTTTTAGCTATCAACACTACTTACCAATTTCCTATTATAAAGGAAAAAATATTTTCTCTCTATATCTCTTACGAAAGTAGGTTTAGAAACACACCTCGTGTTGAACAACCGCAACAACGAGACAACAATCCGCATTCATTTTTGAATGTTTTTGGGTTGTCTAAGAAGAAGAAGAAGACGATGACGGCGACTCAAGGTCAAGAAGAATCTGGGAGTGGATCTTCATCAAGAGGTGGCGGCAACAGCGGCGGATTCAACGAGTTAATGGCGTACCTGAGTGAGGGCTTAGTTGTAGACAGTAGTGAAATGTTTACTTTGGTTCAGTGGTGGAGGGCAAGAGCATTAACTTGGCCGATCCTAACACGACTGGCAATGGATATTTTTTCCATCCCGGTCTCCACTGTTGCAGCCGAACAAGCATTCAGTACAACCGGCCGAATACTTGAAGAACAGAGAAACGCATTGCAACAGGATATTGTTGAAGCTTTGGTGTGCATCAAGGATTGGGATCGTTCCGACCAACGCTTACACAGTACAATCTCACCGGCAAGCCAAGAATGGATTGACGAGTTTAATAGATTAACTTTTAATTTTCAAGACGATCTTTCTGCTTCAAATTAAATTTTATTATTGTACTTTGTAAATATTTATTTACTTTGTAATTTCTAATTTGTATAGTGTTATTGTAATCTTGTATAGACTTTATAAGTTCGTCAAATTTGTAATTCGTCCCACAATGATTGCACTCTTTTTTCCTTATCAAGTTTTTATCCCAATTGGTTTTTTCTTGGTAAGGTTTTTAACGAGCCAATCATGAATTACAAATTTAAAAATCAATAAAGAAATAATTTTTATATAGTTCGTGTGTTCATTTCAAACTTCAAATTGTAATATATATATACATACATTATACAATATAAAAAAATAATATAAAAAATGTTTGAAAATTTGGGCAGTCGGTCGGGCAACGGGCAGCCCGATCGGGCACGGGCTGCCAACTCCTGCCCGTTGCCCGTCCAATGTGAAAATCGGGTCGGGTTGAGCAGCCTGAATCTTCGGGCAGTTCGGGTTCGGTAATCGGACAAAAATTCAGACTTTTCGATGGTCGCGAGCGGCCCGTCCAAAGTTTCAACACTACTTTCTTCAAATTAAAATATTTTTTTTTCATACATCTCCCTACTTACGTTTTCTTTTTTGTCAAAACTCTTATATAACTTTGATTCTTTTTTAATGTGATTTTTTGAAATATTTTTTTTCTTTTATTCCAATTAATGGATTAGTTTCTAAAACCATCTCAAATGTAAATGTTAATATTAATGCTAATTGTATATTTAGTATAAAAAACTATAATATGATATGTTATTTTCATTTTTGCTCTAATGCATAATACTATTTGAAATGTTAAATCTACTTTTTCCTATAACTATTAAGCTTTTAAAGTTACAAAATTAAACTTTTATTTTTAAAATAATTAGGAAATGTAAAAGTTGAGTAAACATTTCAATCAATAGTAATTAAATGTCAAAATTTTCATATGTTATATTTAGTGAGAAATTCACCACAAAATATAATATGTGAAAAATTTAACACAATAAATAACATTGTATTAAAAAATATTTTTACATTCAAATATTAAATTTATAATTAATATATTAATTATAATATTGCATTAAAAATGTTCTAAAAATGCTACGTGTTTTAACAAAATTTCAAACTCATAAAATTACGTGGCTCAACTAGTATTTTAAAAATTTTGCTAAATTTTAACTTGAAATTTTACCTTGTAGTGTAATTATTTCTTTATTGCGTCTTTAATCCCGTTTATTTTATCGATTTGAGTTTAAAATTTAAATTTTGTTACAGTAAATTTTTTTTAAAAATAATCATATCTAATCTTTTTATTATAATAAAAAATTTTAACATAAAATCACATTTCTGATTCAAATTAAAAACTTAAATTAGTGAACTAAACATGCCTGCGTCTTTCACTCTCGTTCCTTTTCTCGCTTCGCCTTTCAATATTCGTTTAAGCCTTAAACCCTAGTAGAACCTAAACTAAAACCCTTGTAGAAATCAGAAGATGAAACCGATGAGAGAAGTTCTATTGAGAAACATCTCTCTCTATTCCCACCGTCGTTTTCTCTCTCCTTCCACATATACCACCAATCCGATTCACTCCCTGTTCCCACTCGCAGCCTCGACTCGGTCCAGAATGAGCTTCTACTCGTCCGAGTCATCCGAGTCTTCTCGAAGCCCTGAGAAATACGCATCTGACGATGATGTCACCGACGTCAGCAAGGAAGGTACATGGAATAGAAACTGGGTTCTTGGTTAGAGATTCAGAAATTTGTTTCTTTCTTTGCATTTCATGTGTCTTTTTGGATTTAAATAAGAAAATTTTCGATCAGTTTTTCCAGCTTCCTTTTAATTCTCTTGTCCTTCGTTGATTTTATTTTATTTGTTTTAATTTTGTGGTTGTTTGATTGATTCCAAATACATTTAGATTTTATCGTTGGATTTCTAATGTAAACATTTATAAGGCAGAGAATATCGTTAAAAAGTTTGAAAAGACTCGTCATTTTATCAAATATATAACCAAAATATATTATAGTGGCAGATGTTATCACAAATTTTTGGAATATTGAATCTTAATGCTTAATTAGCGTTCCAAGAGTAGTCCCATAAGATTTTATTTTTATTTTTATTTCTGTTCATATTTTTTCAATTAGTCTTTTAGAAAGAGCAATTTTACTAATTACAATTTTTTTTTTTTTGGTGAATTTACTAATTACAAGTTGGTTTTCTATTGACTTTGCTATGTAATAGTTTACAATATGCAGTATCATCTATGTATTCTGCGAGAAAACTTGTGCTTTTGCAAAATATGGGGTCCATTAAAGATGTTGCATTTTGTTCTTAAGTTCAGTTGTTTGGTTTGTTGATTGTTTGGTTTCTTTGTTCATAGAAGTTTCTGTTTTTTCTTGTCTCTTTTCCCGCTTGTGATTTAAACTCAAAGCTTCTTTCGGTTTCAGAGCTAAAGAAGCAAATAGACAAGTATTTTGAGGGGGATCTGGAGGCAGTACCATCAATTTTTGAAGCAATTCTACAGAGAAAATTAGCAAGGCTTATGGGGAAGAAGAATGACGACGATGATGACGAGAAGTTGATCGAAGAGCTTTGCGGCAAGAAAGAACTTGGACATGGGTCGGAGAGCGATTTTGAAGACAAAGACTCTTAATCTGATTGTATGTGAATTGTAAGTCTGAGATACAACGGTGAGGCTTTCATGAACAGAAGATAATAACGATGAGCGTGGTAATGGTCAGAATACCGAGATCAAGATCTGGTATTTTCATATTTTGATTTGAAGAAAAGGCGAATGGAGGAATGTTCTACTATGTATATATACCGAGGAAATCTTTGTACTTTTTGTAGGATTAGTAGAAGTAGACTATTTCATAGAAAGATCAAACAAGAAATAACCACAAGCATTTAGAATGATAATCCAAATAAAAGAAAGATAAAGATTTAGAGTGTTTCAGTTCAATGTAGCATGTCTTCTTTGTGGTTACTCAACTTTCTTATTGTATTCCTGGGATTACATATTTGAACTCTCTTCTGAATTCTCTCAACATAGAATGTACCAAGAAAGGTAGCTTGAATCCTTGCGTTCTGTCCGTCTCCTATTTATAGGTGTCTTTTGCTGTTGAAAATCGCCCGATGTGGTTCCTCTCATGTCCTCCATCTTCGGATCCACTATCCTCTAGCCGCTCCGAGATTGTGCGGGCTGTGCCTGGTGCTTAGGAGCCTCATGCCATCATGGTTGTGTAGATGACTACTCCGGGTATTTCGAACTTAATGAGATTGTGTCTCGCATTCATAAATTGGTCATACAAAGACTAGTGTTCATTAGGCTCTTCCAAGGGAACAGCTCCACATGGTTGGTCGCTTTGCGACCAGCTCTAAACGTTTCATAATTTTTCTTTGTTTCCATTAGCCACTAGTGGGCGATCTATTTATGTATTTGTTCACTGCCTTTGTGAGCGGGGGAATAATATTCAAAAGTTGTTTTTCTTATTATGTTATTGCTGCTTCTTGATATTTTACTTTTACAGATGACTGAATATTGATTCAAGGTGTAGTCTTTTTATTTGGGTTTTCCATTATGCCTGAGTCTTCAACAGAAGTCGAAGAAGATGTGAAACTTCAGTCTGCATAATCGTGTTCTTAATTTCAACAGGATTTCAGCATGTCTCATTTTGATTGCGAACCAGAATTGATTAAAATGCTGATAAGGCTAACATTTATGATCCTTTTGTTAATTTGGTGCCTGGAAAAAAAAAGGTGTTACCGTTTCCAATTTTAGCTACCTGGTTGAGGCACCTAATCAATCCTTCAAGTTGTTCTTCTAAGTAAAACCAGGAAAAAGAGGCAACTTTTTCCACTTGGAAATGAGGAAAGCAGGAAATACTAAACCTGATCTGTATTTATGTATTATGAAAGAACATATTGTTTTCAGTTTGATCTGTTTCTTCACTATATTTCTTTTGTCTGATAGTTTGGAGTTACCATTCTATGATCAATATATCACTATAAACACACATGTTAATGTTAATTTACTAATGTTGTCGAGCGGTGTTATTAAAGGAGTTTTCAATTTGAGTTGAAATGTTGTTGGTACCGGTTTAAGTCTCTTTACTAAGTTTGTTGTTAAATTTTTTGTAACAAATATACAAGAAACACGTGAAATAGGAAAAAGGGGCACAAGAAAATTGGTATCACTGTTCGGTAATTATCTACTCCGTAGGATCACGTCCAAATGATGAACAATCCACCTGAGAATTAATGGACATAATGGACTTAAACAATGTTACAACTCAAATGGACGTAATTAACCCGAGTCTCTCTCTCTAAGTATGACACCTATGAACTTCTAACTATCCAATAGACTTACTCAGCGAGCACCACTTAACTTAAAAAAATTGTATGGTGAATTCCCTTCAGTTGGTAGTGCGTTCTCTCTTGAAAGCTTTAAATTTTTCTCTCGAAGAACGATGGTTGAACTCCTTTTAACACTTCAAATCGTCTTCTCCCGAAGAACGTGAAAGACAAAGACTCAGAAAATGAATTGAATCTATATAATTCTGAGGCTCCAAAGGCCTGTTGAGATTGTTGTGAGGCTCAAATTAAATAGCCAAATAAACCAGTTGTCAAAAACTTTAATGCAGTCCATTGTCCACATTCTGTTGCAGATTATGTTGCAACAATTACTGCAACATAGCTGAAAAATCTGACGGAAAGTGAACCACGCTGATTCTTGAAATCTTCTCATATAAAAACAGACGAACCTTGACATGTTCCTCATAAACACGAGTGATTCATTCAGCCCAGCAGAAAACTCATCCATAAATCAATCATTTCATCAATTTCAACTTGCCTAAAATATCTAAAAATAAACTTCCACCAAATCAAATCAATATGATTGATTCCAAATAGTTTCCATATACACTAAACTTTCTAAAATGTTTTTTAACTGCTGCCAATCAATTCTGCAATCATATCATCACGAAATCGTACCCAAAATAATGCTAGAAATTAAAAAACAATCAAATTCGAAACTTTCCAAAAAAAAATAATAATTACTGCAGCAAATCAATCTCCAAATCAATTCAATGTTGCAAATCAAACTCCATATTAAGCCCAAAATCAAATATTTCAATTTGCAAAATAATGTCAATATGAAAACCCCAACAATCTCCCCCTTTGACATAGTTTTGACAAAATATCACATCATAAACAAACAAAGGAAATTGTTTCAAATAAACACAATTAAATTGAAACTCCCCCTGAACCACACAACACAAAATCAAAGTCTACACACACTATTCTCTCCCTTTTTGACAAAATAATTATCAAAGCAACTAAAAAAGGAGATTATGTTGCAACAATTACTGCAACATAGCTGAAAAATCTGACGGAAAGTTGTTGATGGCTGTTTTTGTATCAGGCCCAAAGATTCCGTCCCGTGACGAGATTATGCTCGATTTGTGGACCCAAGCCATGTTCGGGAAACTCGCGTAGGCCGTGGTTTAGTGGGCCATGGGTAATCGAACGAGCCAATTTGTTTCTTAGTATGATCCACTTTTAAGACCTACTTGGGAGGTTGTAAAATAATTGGGCTAAGGAATGAATGGGTGATGGAGAATCCAACCCTAAAAGCCTTTGTTTATGTTTTAGGAGTCTTAGAAACCTTTCTTTAGCCTTTGGAGACTCGAAAGTCCGGAATTTATGTCGTGGAAAGTCCGGAATTTAAGTCGTGGAACCTTCCCTTTCGGCGACAGACGAGAAGTTTTTCTGCTCTGGAGCAGCTTCCTCTAGAGTGGCAAGAATTCATCTCCTTGGTTGTCGCTTGCTGTGGAGGCATCACTAAGGACGCCACCACGGGGATGTCACTGCAGATTTCCTCACAAAGATGTTTCCCATGCTCCAAGAGACTTCTTTGTTCCGAAGATGCCTTCCATGCTCCAAGAGACTCTTTTGTGTCCGAAGGTCTTTCCCGTGCTCCATCGAGGTTGAATGTGTCAGGTGCTCCAGAGACGGCTGTTTAGCCAAAAACAGAAGGCGGCACTCTGAAGCTGGTCTGACGTGTGTTTAGACTTCTGAGAATAGAAGCGTCCATGGAGTACTAGATTTAGTCAAACACTTCATAATCTCCAGACCTGGGGAAGGTCTAATGTCAGCAAGATTCTGGATTTGGTCTCCAAATACACCCATTTTCGGTCCATTTGTTTGTCAAATAGTAAAGTCACCTAATGTAGGTGCTCAAGAAGGAAATGGTTCGTACAATCCTCTAGCAAGGCGTGATTGTATGGCTCCAGAGCAACCATCAAAATCTTCCAAACTTCTCTTATAAATACCTCTTAACTTCTTCATTTCAAGGGACCTCTTTAGAGACTTTGAGACTTTTGAGACTTCTTGAGACTTTTGGAAAGATGTTATGACATTTGAGTTCATCATCTTCCCTTGAGTTTCTCGGAGAGTTCATCAAGTTTCTGGTGTTCTACAAACTTGTGCTCTTCGGGTTTGAAGTTCCTCATAAAAATCTCACTCAAAAAGTCTTGAAAAACTTTGTTTGATCCATCCAAGCTCGTCTACAAGGTACATCCGAAGTCCGAAGAATTTGCCTTCGAAGCTAGACTCCACCGTCCGGAGCACACTTCCGGAAAGCCGTAAAACTTCACTTGTTATTTGTTCTTCGAGCTCTCCACTTAAATAGCCTTATCCGTACTGTACGAGTCAGACACCCGCTTCGGAGGCAACCTGTTCTTGTCCTCGAAGCATTCCTCCTATGAGATAGCCTTATTTGCACTTTATGAGTTAGACATCCACTCTGGAGGCAACCTTGCTTGTCCTCGGAGCATTCCTTCTCTGAAACAACCTTATCCATCTCCATCAACCGTTCGGTTACTTCTCCCACCATAATTAGTCCATACGATCTCCATGACTGAGTTCAACATCTCCCCATGTGCATAGTCGAGAGTGCCTCGCAAATTGGCAACAAAGTGGGCCCTAGAATCTGATTTCTTCGGCTTACTTTGGGCCTAGCTAATCCCCTCTTCTTCGATGGAGGTCTTACCGTACAAGCTCCTCTGTGAAACGGCGTCTTTCATCTGTGTCACCATCAACACTACTGACTCCGATACTTGCATGTATATACCTTGTACACGTCGTACCCACCGAATCTACTGGGCCCCAACAAAAGTTAACCATGCTGATTCTTGAAATCTTCCCATATAAAAACTAACGAACCTGGACGTGTTCCTCATAAACATGAGTGATTCGTTCAACCAGCAGAAACTCATCCATAAATCAATCATTTCATCAATTTCAACTTGCCAAAAATATCTGAAAATTAACTTCCACCAAATCAAATCAATTTGATTGATTCCAAACAGTTTCCATATAAACTAAAATTTCTAAAATGTTTTTTAACAGCAGCCAATAAATTATGCAATCGTATCATCATCAAATCATGCCTAAAATAATGTTAAAAATAAAAAAACAATCAAATCCGAAACTTTCCAAAAAGAATTCCTGCAGCAAAGCAATCTCCATATCAATTTAATGCTGCAAATCAATTTTCATATCAAACCGAAAATCAAATCTTTCAATTTGCAAAATAATGTCAATATGAAAATCTCAACAGATGTAATTTTATGTTAGAGCTTTAACTGTAACAGAAAAAGTTAAATGTGATTTTTTGTGAGAGTTTTTTAACAGTGACAAAATTTGAATTGAAAACTCAAATCGATAAAATAAACGAGGTATACTTCAACCCTATATGTTGTCTCTTGAAGAGCAGCATGTATTAACAGCTTAATCTAATACCCAAAAAAGGAAGTTCACTTTGTAGGCTTTATATCTATTATATAGTATTTTTTGCGTGCAAAAAGTAAACTATATTCTCTTGGTGTTCTAGAATAGTAATAAAATGTTCTTTCTTATTTTTTTTAAATGTTTCCTAATAAGCATAGATTTAAAAAATGATTTTAATAGAGAAGAAGGCATCATAACGAAGAAAAGAAAAAAACATATATAAATGAAGATGTCAAGGAAAGAAAAGAATTCTGACGATATATATTCTGGCATATTCTACAACACTACTATTGGAAGTTGAGTTTTACTGTTTAAAAAACAGTGTTTTTCTTTATTTGCCAGGAACGTTTGGTTAGAGAATTCAAATCATAATTTAAATCAAATAATGATTTGAATCATGGTTCATGATTCGCTACAGTATTTTTTCTCATAAAAAATACACATAAATAAAAAATAATTCTAATCCATGAACCAAACATCTCTTCAGTATTTTTCTTCTCCCCTCTTAAACACGTGGTTGTCTATTTTTTTCCTTTTTCTTTGTGTTGTTGCTTCGACTTCTTTGTTTTTCTTGAGTTGTCGCCTCCCTTAATTTTTGTGAGACACGTGCCTCTCTTTTTTAGTTTTTCTTCTTTTTTTTTTTTTTTTTTTTTTTTTTTTTTTTTTTTTTTTTTTTCTGATGTTGCTTCCAGTTGTATATAACTCTTTCATTTTCCTCTTATTTTTTACACGTCTCTTATTTTTTTTCTTCTTCTCTTCTTTTGATGTTGCTTCCAGCTGTATACAACTCTTTCATTTCTCTTTTATTTTTTTCTCTCCGCTGCGGAAGTCTGTTTGGCTCCTGGGTTTTTTTTTCCATGTTCTTTTTTTCTTCTCAAATCTTTTTTCGTTGGGTTTCATTGTTGGTTTTTTTTTCCTCTATTTGCTTAAAATTTTTTCTTTTTTTCTTTTCTTCTACTGTGTTCTAGAGTTCACATGCTTTAATGTTTTTGTTTTTGTTTTTTTTTTCTTTTTTTCTCTTCTTCCAATGTGTTGTGGAGTTCATCTGCTTTAATATTCGAAGTTTTTGGTTTTTTCACTGTCTGATGTTGCTTCTAGCTGACTACAACTCTTTCATTTCTCTCTTCTTTCATCTTATGTTTTTTGGACTTCTGGTTTTTTCTTCTCTTCCCCTGGTTAATTTTGTTCTCTCCGCCGTGGATGTTCGTTTGGCTCTTGGGTTTTTTTTTTTCATGTTTATCTTTTTTCTGAAATACTTTTTTCTTTGGGTTTTATGGTTGTTTCGTCCTTTTTTTCTTCTATTTGTTTTAAATTTTTTCTTATTTTCTCTTCTTCCATTGTAATCTGGAATTCATCTGAAGTTTTTGGTTTTTTTTTCTCTTCTTCCAATGTCTTCTGAAATTCATCTGCCTTAATGTTTATCTGATTTGAAATTTTGTTCTATAATTTATTTCTTTTTTTTTACAGTGATTATTCTGGAGATTTTACAGACCGAACTTTTATTATATAATATATATATTTTGTAACATATTTTATCCGTGTTATTTGCACACAGGTAACACACTAGTTTCTTATCCTATTTAAGGTAATTACATACTTATAAAACATAATTTACAAATATACCTGTTCATTTAAAAAAAAAAAAAGAAAACAAACAAACAGACACAGAATAATCTATTCTACCATTTATTTGCACCATTGGCCCCTTAACTCTTTTAGTAGGTGACACTGTCTCTCTTTTTTCAATTTTGGCAAAATGATCCCAACCTTTTAAAACATTGATAATTAAACCATTTCCGTCTAAATCTGTTAAGTTTTAAACGGAATGTGCCATAGTAATCTAGTATTAGAGGGTATTCTGGTAATTAGCTACTGTTTATAATTTAACCCAAAAAAAAAATAAAGTTAGAAAAAAAATCCTCTCTAAAAAAAACCTGCAAGTGCAGACCTCAAGAAAAAAAAAGACCAAAAAAAAAAAGAAAAGAAAAAAACTTAGAATCAGATAGAGAAGAGCCGACGGGTGGGAAGGGGAGGGGAATAGGGAGATCTACATGGCGGAGGTCTCGCTATGGGCGATGAAGATAAAGGGATGGGCGCTCAAGAGAGATTACCGGAGAGAGAAATTTTTTTTACCAGTTTAGACAGAGATGAATGGGGGTGGATTTGATGGTGAAGTCAACGGTGATGAGAGACGGCGAGAGAAGGATTTTGTCACTAACTGTGTGCCTCACGGTGCCGAAGAAGAAGCCAACGGTTTTCGAACAGAGTTGCCGTCGAATGGGGAGAAGTTTGTTTGAACCTTCTTCTTCCTCCTCTTTTTTTTTTTTTTTTTTTTTGAGTTGAATGCTGTTACTGAATATAGTTGTATATCATATATAGGAGAGTGTGTAGAGATATGGATATATGCCAGTAAATGATAATTAGAATGAACTTTCTTTACTAATTTCTAAAATCCCATAGAGGAATATATATGGGAAACGAAGAACAATGAGTTTTTTTGCTAGAAGAAGAACAGTGGCTTGGTTTTTCTTACTTTTGACTCATGTCCATGATGTGGATACACCGGGAAGATGCATTCAAGAAGAGTTCTTTCTCCGACGGCTTTACGAAGAGCCAGGAGAGCTACCCTGTTCGGCGCTCAAATCTAGCATTGCAAATGGAAGAAGAACAACAAGAAGTGAAGGCCTTGATCTCGTTTTTATTTTTCAGGTTTTAAAAAAAAGCAATTTTACTGTAGTATTTGACACAACAAAAATAAAAAAATAAAAAATAAAAAATAATAATAATTTATTATTTATTTTCTATTTTTTAAGTAGAAAAAGAGATATAAATATTAATTAATTTTTATATTAAAAATAATTTTTTAATAAAATTATTAAATATATTTTTAAAAATAATTTTTATTTAAAATTAAAAACGTTTTTATTTTTATTTTTATATAAAAAATAAAATTATTTTAAGAAAAATTCTAAACGCACTTAAAAGTAATTAAGATTATATTTATTTTAGTGATTTGAGTTTTATTATAGTAAAATTTTTTTAAAAATAATCATATTTAATTTTTTATTACAATAAAAATTTTTTACATAAAATTACATTTTAATTCAAATTAAAAATTTGAATCAACAAATTACAAGACTTAAAAAAGTAATTTGAGGGCATTTTCATCTTTGAGTAATAAAGTACACAAATCTGTTTAAAACTTAACGAAAAGAGTTTAATTATCAACGTTTTAAAAGATCGGAGATCATGTTGTCAAAATAAAAAAAAAAGAAAGACTAAAGCGTGCAAATTACCCGTTGAAAAAATATTAACCGGAAGTCCAAACAAAAACCCCGCATACGAACTGAACTGAGAACTTAAACCCTAACCCAGCGATGAAGCAATCTCTGCTGAGAAATGTCTCTGTCATCGCTCGAAATCGTCTTCTTCCTTCCCCAACTTCCAATTCCATCCCTAATCGCTCGCTTCTTCCACTCGCCGCCCTTAGGCTTTTCTCCTCCGAGAACGGCTCCTCCAATGAAAACCCTAATCCCGGCCCTGTCGCCGACTTGACTCAACTCGACAATAAAGATGTCTCCGTTCAACTCCAAGATGTCAGCAACAAAGGTAAACTATATGATAAATTGAGTTTCTTTTTGATCATGATGAATTATGAAACTGTTAGAGTTTTTCGGGTCTATATGATAAATGACTTAAATGTTATTAGAAATGTAGATCCAAAATGGATTTTAGCTCAAGTTTTGGCCTTTTAATTTTTCTTTTTCTTTTTTTTTTGATGATATTTCTTATGGGCTTTGTGGAATTTCATTGTTTCGAGTAGAACAATTGTTTTGTTTCTTAGAAATTAAAGCAAAGAAATACAAATGAATTTTGTTTTTGGTATAATGGGTGTTTTGGCTTTGAAAGGTTTGGTTTTTAATTCTAGAAAGATTAAAAAAAAAAAAAACTTGAATGTTAAATTTTTCTTGTGGCATTTGGTTTTGGATATAGAACAAACATTTTCTTTAGTGAACAGGGTTGCTGGAGTTAAAGTTTTGGCCTCTTAGTTTCGAACTGGGGATTAAGGTCATGATGATATTGCTTATGAGGCTTGTTGATTTGTATTGTTTTTCCATGCGTCTGTTGATTCTATTTATTTATTCATTTATTTTTTTCTGAGTTTTTAGAGTTGAAAATGCGGATTGAGAAGTACTTTGAGGGTGATGAGGAAGCACTGCCGTCGATCCTGGAAGCGATTCTGCAGAGGAAGTTATCTGGAAAGCACGCGGAGACAGATGATGAGTTGATGGAAGAGCTTGAGGCGAAGCCGTTGCCTGATGTTACTAACGAAGAATTTGAAGAGTCTTGTGAATTAGCTCATGAGACTGATGAAGAGATTGATGACTTATATGATCCAAAAGGCTATGTTGTGAAGAAAATGAGAGAGGATGAGTTCTTTGCCATGGATGATAAGAAGTGGAGTGAAGTTGTTCAGGATGGTGTTAAACATGGAATTGTCAAGGACCCCCAAGAATGCGCTGAAATTCTAGAAGATATGCTTCACTGGGACAAGCTTCTTCCGGGTATTTCCTCGTTTTGTTTGCTTTTTTTCACGTTAACTTTATACATTCCATGTTATATTGAGTGATTAGTAAACAACTGGTTCACAAAATATTTGTTGTGGTTGTAGTTTATAGATGTTTAGTCATAATGTGTATAATAGTAGGGATGGCAATTTGTGTCACGTGTCGTGTTCGTGTCGTGTTTTGATCGTTTTTTAAAAATTTGCAGTCAACCCGAACACGACCCGTGACACGAAATTTTTTAAAAACCGCAACACGAACACGACACGACCACTTTACAAGCTGACACGACACGACTCGAAAATGACCCGTGACACGAAATTGACACGAAAATTGTATACTTTTATTTAGTTTTTTTAAATATTAGAAATAACTTAAAATTCATAACACACTAAATTACAATAACATCCATTGAAATTAAGCAAATAATAGTATAAGATTTTGAGTATAACTATCATGATATTACAAGTTCATAATAAAATTTAAAATATGAAATGAAAAATATATGTATTTTTAGTTTTTTACGAGTTTCGTGTCGTGTTCGGGTTAGGCGGGTCCAACCCGAAATTGACCCGTATTTTTCGTGTCAATTTCAGGTCGACCCAATTTTGACCCGAACCTCTTTTTTCTCAACCCTAACCCGCAAAATTCGTGTCGTTTTCGAGTCGTGTCGTCGTGTCGTGACCCATATTGCCGGCCCTATATAATAGTCTTCACTATGCTACTTCTTTCTTCCTAAGTTCACAAAGAAGAATCAATTGTAAGTGGAATGAAGTAGTTCTTGATTTTATTTTACTGTATCATATCTATGTGTTGTTGTGCCAATAATCTAAATTTATACGAATAAGTTGAATGCGTGTATACATCTTTCTATTGCTCTACATAGTGTATACTTGAGAAATTTGAGACGTTTGGATAAATCTTAGATACAGCTACTAGAAGGTGATGGGATTTATTTGTAACTTTTCATGTCTGGTGTCGTATAGTAACTTGATTTCTGGCCGGTACTATTGGGCCATCCTTATCTGCTATCTTTGTGTCAAGATGACAATGTTTAACATTATGGTGCTAGCATGTAAGTAGGCTATTATTTCAAGTATCTCTAGAACTAGGCTGAAATGCTTCATTTTCTGTCCTTTGGTATGTCCCTCTTTATTTATTTTTTATTTTTTTTATTTTTTTATTTTTGTACAGATGATATTAAACAAAAGGTAGAAAAAAGGTTCAATGAACTTGGGGATATGTGTGAAAGAGGAGAGCTTGAACCTGAAGAAGGTTACAAAATGTTCAAGGAGTTTGAGGATAGGGTTGTTGAAGAATACGTGCAGAAGATGGAGGCTAAGGGTCCTGAAAGTTTTGATGAGAGTGATCTAATAGTGAAAAAGACGGATTCAGATGTCCCATCGGGTGAGGGACCCATTCTTAGATGGAAAACACGAGTAGTTATTGGTCCTGGTGGTGATTCTTGGCATCCCAAGAATAGATTGGTGAAATTGGGTGTTACTGTGAAAGAACTTGGCCTTTCAAAGTATCAATTTCGCAGGCTCAGAGAATTGGTTGGAAAGCGGTATCATCCTGGGAAAGATGAGCTTGTAATTACTAGTGAGAGGTAAGAACGGATGACCATATCTCTTCTGATTCCTTACATGTAGATTGTAGTGACTTGTAACTGGTTGTGAATAGTTGTGTGCTTTTATAATTATAGTTATGACTGGCTTTCTAGCTGATTGCTGATTTGTATACGAGTAACTTCAGTCTTGATTTAAGTATTGTAGAATTACTATCCTGGTCAATTGTTAAAATCTGGTCAAGAACTTGGAAATGATACATAAGAAGCGTTTGAGAATTGTTCAAACAACACCTTTATCTAGGGTATTGATGTAACAAAAACAAAAAAAGAAGAAAAAAAAGAGGTATTGAAGAGAAGAAAAGAGTCACTTTCCTATAAGACAGTGAGCGCAATACAATACAGTTCACAGAAAGATCTAAAATGGAAAAGAAGTCACAGTTAAAATTGCTATAAGCTGCATAAAAGCATCTCAGAAAACAAAAGGTAACAAAGAGTATACATAGGAAAAAAGTAGCATAAAAGGATCTAATCTAATCATATAAAATGCATGAAAGGAGAGTTGGAATAAAATTATGATGTAAAAAATGTGTTCCTATGTACCTTACGTACATCTATTTTCGGAATGGCAAATATAACTTCTTTCTTTTTCTGAAGGTTTGAGCACCGAGAGGAAAACAGAAAAGATTGCCTCAGAACCCTTCTTGCCCTTATCGAAGAAGCTAAGAAGGCCAACGATATGGTAGACGTTGCTCGAGCTGCATATGTCAAGGGGAGACTGAAGGCAAATCCTGCATTCATGGAAAGATTGCGTGCCAAGGCCTCAAGGTTGCGAGAATCCAATACTGTGCCTGCTTGAGGTTTGGTCTGATACGGTTGGTTGTCTCTGCAAAAATAGATTTGAACATTTGAAATGCCGTCTTGGATGTGTTGCTGTTTCAATTGAAGGACCTCACTCCAAGATAACAATTTTGCGTCTGTTCTCGCAACTCATATTCCATGCATCTTTCTTGTACATTGCCATGCTAGTTGCTGATGTTTTCAGCCAGTTGGCTTTACCGTTTTGTCCCTGGAATCTCACCTGGATGCAATAACTTGTTAAGTGTACTGATGTTCGTCTGATACTTATATCTAGCCCTTCGACGATTAAGTTTATTTTCAAAGATTGAGCAATAAATCTCTCTTATATATGTTATTTACATTGTGAATGGTAGTACTTGCTTGACTAGTCATTCCAAAATAGGGAGATATTCCCACTGTTGAGAGATTCTTTCATTTATAAAATCCCAATCTGTCTGTTGGATTATGAATTATAAATATGCTTTGTTCCTTAGTGCTTCAAATAGTTGTCTAATTTTTGTGCATGCCGCTACTACTGCTTATCCACCAAACACATAGACAGCTCTCTCTCACTCTCTCTCTCTCTCTGGAGAAACTGTATGTATATGTCCGTTTCAGTATTCCATACCTTTTTTTTTTTTTTTCTAATGAAATGTCTATTTATTTTTTTAATTAGTTTTATATTCTTTGTTCTTTTAGGACTAATCAATTATTTATGAATGTAAATTGAATTAATTTCATAGGTGTAAATTTGCGATTTATTTGAGTAGATCAATCATTTACTTTTGGTAAATTAATTAATTTTATTTGATTAATGGACATAAATTGAAAGGCAAAAAATATTATGGATACTTTTTGGAAATGTACCCAAATTTTGGTCAATTATGTGTATACATGGATACATACAAGTAATTTTTTTTTAAGGAAGAAAAAGATATATGTATGTGTATATATACACGTATATTTGTTCTCAGCTTTCTTTAGACCGAAGAGAACCCATGTTTATGGCCTTTCTTCTATGAAAGCCAGTATTAATTTTCACTCTCCCTTTCTAAAGTATTATGCTTTGCCTCCTCCAAGAGTTAAAGTTTTTATATTGGAATCTGATTCCCTTTCCTTGATTGCAGCGTCTGCTTTTTAGCCATACCATGCACTTTTATTTTCGGATTGACATTCTTAATCAAAGGGAGGTTGACGATTTCTGTTGCTTTTTTTTTTTTTTTTTGGGGGGGAATATTGCTTTCTGTTTTTGCTCTTAAAATAAGTTGAACTAATAAACCTTTGGCATACTATAATAAATTGTTGGGATACCTTGGTCTATCTACATTATCCCACATATAGTGCCTGAATCTTTTTTTGTTATGTCGGTCCGGATCTTTTCACTAATTTGAGTTTAGAATTCGAGTTTTGCTACAGTAAAAAACTCTCAGAAACAATTACATCTAATTTTTTTACTATAGTAAAAAGTTCTCACACAATATCATATCTCAACTCGAATTAGCGAACTGAACGGTCAATTAAAAGAATAGAAAGCACTATTTGTATCCTTCTTAGTCATATAAAAGTTGCGTTGGTTATTAGTAAATAGAGAGAAAATATTAGAAAAGTCGTGTTGGTTATTTACGTTCACTCTATGTATCTTTATATAGTATTTTCCAGCAAAGGAAGTATGTATATAAGGTTATGACTTATCATATTGCTTCGTAAGATTTGCCAAAGCAAAAACCGATTCTGTTGCTGGTCCTCAACGAATCCAGCATGTGTTAATGGCGCTTTGTATTTTTTTTTTTTTTTTTTTTTTAAGCATATTCCCAAATCAGATACCGAAATGATAAAAAGTGGGAAAGGTGTTTTAAAGGACGAGAGAACAGAAAGAGACTCAGAAAAATGTAGAAAATTTGGAGGCCCGAGTTTTGTTAAGGTTATCAAATGAGTAGAATTTGAACCTTTCTTAGAAAGGACCATGCTCTTCATCACTGCAGCATAGTTTCCATGTTTGAGAGACAGCCATTTTTTCAAGACATGAGAGACATGGAGAGAAAATTTATGCCTAAAGAGAGAACCAAGATGGAAAGAAAATTTACCTATGAAGAGAAAGCTAAGGCGAAACACCTGGATTGCAGGCATAATAACAGAATGGAAATAGGACAAGATTCAAGTTGCTGTTGTAAAACTGCAGGATTTCTGTGCAGCGCTTGTTTGCTGTGTGTTTCATGCCCACTAGCCATTCTCTCGTGTTTGATCAAGCTGCCGTGTGAGGTGGGATGGCGGGCTGCGAAGCGAGCGGGGAAATGGGTTTGCTGCAGATCAGAAAAGAGGATTCTCGCGGAATATTCTTCGTTTTCGGATATCGATTCGGATTCTCTACCTACAGCTAAGGTGGAGAAGCATTGGGGTTCTAGAAATTTAGATGAACTGGGTTGATCGGGCTAACAGTTGGAAGGAGAATTGTTTGCAGAAAACTGGTTTTCGGCTTATAACAATGGTTTTGTGTTTCCTTTTTTTTTTTTAATTGCTAGCAATCTTTCAGTTTCAAATGTGTGTATGTATACTTGTTTCTAATTCTAGGCATGTTTCTGGCAATTTCCTTGATTTTGATTCAGAGAATTTTGGCCCAAAAAAAAAAAAAAATTAGGCCCTTTTTGGGGTACCTTAGTCATGTAATAGGTTATGCCATTTTAATGGAAGAGGAAAGAAGAAAGGTATGGTTAAGCAATGGTCAAAACGGAGCAATAATTACACAAAAGGAGTTGGGAACATTAAAAATAGGAGCTTTTTACTGTACGTATCCTTAGGAATGGTACATGTACGTATTTAAAGAGGTAGAATCCTTACTTAAAGATGTACGTATTTAAAAAGGTAAAATTTGTATTTTTTTTTTTAAAAGGAGTTAAAAAGAGGAAACAAACTAGTAATTGGATACTCCAAATTCAATAAATAATAAATAATAAATAAATAAAGAACTTGATCAAAATTCCAACTTCTTCCGAAGGAAAGAACTTTATAAAACTATTAACAACTTCAATTAAAAATTAATTTAAGAGGATACTGTAAAGTTGTTATTACAAATAACAAATAATTTTTTAAAAGAGGGTCAAAAAGAGGAAACGAACTAATAATTGAATCCTCCAAATTCAATAAATAAAGAACTTGGTCAAAATTCCAACTTTTTCCGAAGGAAAGAACGTTATAAAACTATTAACAACTTGGATTAAAAATTAATTTAAGAGAATACTGTAAAGTTGTTAAACAAATAACAAATAACAAATTATGTAAAAATAAGTTGTCAAGAATGGGATTCGAACCCATGCCCTTTCGGACCAGTACCTGAAACTGGCGCCTTAGACCAACTCGGCCATCTTGACATTTTATTTATTTTGCACTTGCATTAAATAGTAATATCAAGAATATAAACCTTAATTATTGCATATAATAACAGAATAGGATGATTATTATTATTATTATTATTATTATTTATACAGCACTCAAAACAAAATGTATTTCGTGGACAACACTGATTTTGATTAATTTGTTTTGTCCAACAATAATTACAACTTTGCATAAAAAATTGCAATAATTACCACCAGGTTGTACATATTAAGATATGTATTACTGGTAATTACAATAAGAGTGATTATAGTTACACCCACTAAATTTATTAATACTTCACCAAATTATAATTTATATTTATTATAATTTTACCTTGTATTGAAATTACATTAAAATCCACTATACTGAATTAACTATAAATAGAAATAATATCATTTAAAAAAATAAAAATAAAAAAGAATACACCCGCATAATATAATTATAAAACATTTTTCAATGAAATAAAAAAAATACCCCACAGCTATTTTAGAAAGCTGAAGTAACAATAGTCAAACGAGAAATAATAAAACTAGAAATAAGGGAACTTTACAGGATACCACAAATTTTGAACTTGGATTGAAATATGTTAGGAGACATAACTAAAAATCATAAAATCCATAAAATTTATAAATATATACATGAAAAATTATAAAACGTCATACAAAATCTAAAATACTGACTCAAATACACAAAAGTATAACTATAATTTTGGTCAAAACACAAAACTTAAATGATGTTATTGTGGTATATTTTATAATAATTTCAGTACCCATTTTAATAGTCAGTCTAACCTTAAAAATCATGGCATATTACCTAAATATCTCTAAAAATAATCTTCAAAACGGGAAACTAATAAGCTGCCTTGCTGACTACTTTCAGATTTAAAAGTTTCGCTGTCCGTTTAACTCGATGTATCCAACCGGATAACTAGTTGATCATTGTTGTAGCTCACATGCATTGTATCAATTTATTACAACTACCTAATTAATATCACATGGTTAAACAATAATAGCCTATTGATTAGTAAATATAGTTGTAACGATTAAACCCACACACACCTATATATAAAATAAACTAGCTTAGATTTGTAATTTAAATTTACAATTACCAAAAACAAAATTTTCTAAAAAAGACCTTGAGGTACACATATGTTAGACCATCTCCAGTGCAAATGCTAATGCCAGTTGTATATTTAACAATAAAAAGTGTGACATAATGTGACATGGAACTATTAGAATTTCTAAAAGATGCACTCCTAGATAATAATCAAGTGTCGGGTAGTATGTATGAGGCTAGGAACACGTTGAGCGCTATGGGGATGGAGTATGAGAAGATATATGTGTGCTCGAATGATTGCATCCTATACCAAAAAATGTGTGAAGACTTGGATTAGTGTCCGGTGTGGCATGAGTCTAGGTGGAAGAAAGGTAAGAAACGGTCGAACGGAAGAAAATGAGTGCCGGTAAAGGTGTTATGGTACATTCCAATAGAACCACAGTTAAAGTAATTGTATAAGAATAGGGAGCATGAAAATAATTTAACTTAGTATCATGATAAGAGGATCGATAATGGCATGCTATGACATCCGGTCGATTATCCACAATGGAAGACATTTGATGCGAAGTATCCTGAATTTAGTGTAGAGCCTAGAAATGTTCGCCTTGCTTTATCGGCTAATGGAATGAATCCGCATAGTAGTTTGAGCAGTAAGCATAGTAAATGACCGGTCTTTCTTGCAAACTACAATCTTCCTCTAGACTTATGCATATAGTGAAAGTTCCGAATGTTGACCTTGTTGATCTCAGGACCTAATCAACTGGGAAATGATATTGATGTCTACTTGGCACTGTTGATCGGTGAGCTAAGGAGATTATGGCAAAGAGGGATCGAAATTGAGGATGGTTTCTATCAAGAGACCTTCACACTCCCTGCAATGTTCATGTGGACCATTAATGACTTTCCTACATATGAAAATTTATATTCATACTCAGTTAAGAGTTCCATAGGTTGCCCCATTTGCATGATGGAGACATCTTCTATCCGGTTGAAACATGGAAAAAAGACGGTTTATGATGGTCATATGAGATTCTTACCTATGAATCATCGATGATGCAAACAAACAAAAAAGCATTTAATGGTAACACTGAAAAAGACTACCTCCAAAACCGTTGACACAGAAATAATTATCTAAGAGGGTCAAGAACGTGAAAGT